ACATCTTTCTTCCTGGGGCATGTCTTTGGGCCCCACTTTTATCTCTAAAACAAGACAAACATTGCTCAAAGGTTGAGTGGTGGCTGCAATGAAGTCTGCTGTGCACACAGGCTGGGAAGCGTTATGTGTTTTGAGGTGAAAGCTGCCTTTAATATTTCACCAGCTTTAAAAATTCGTCCTAAGATGACAGCCTTAGTCTGCCTTGCTGTGAGTCATTCACAGACTTCTGTACCCTAAGCTGCAGTCAGCTCTGTGCAAGAAGGACCTCTTGCATGTATCTCCATATTTAAAACAAAGATGCCTCTTCTGTGAGTTGTAAGAATAAAACTCTCAGCAGTTGGATGCTGGCCTTCACATGAATTCAGTGGTTTCAACCTTGTGTCTTTTCCAAGTGTGTGGGACTGAAAAAGCCTTTTACAGAGAGCAGAGCCAGCATGGACAATTATAGTGTCTAACAGCACACAGACACAGGAGCGTGGAATAAGCTTACTGCAGAAAATCCTTCTTGTAAAAGCTAGTTCTGGTGCCTTTACACATCTACATATTCTTCAGAGGTCTGTCAGAGGCAATTACAACTGACTGCCCTGTGTGTATCAAATAGATATGTACTGTGTGGCAAGAGCTTTAGAGAGGTGGAAAAAGCAAGTGCCTGCAGCAGCACCCTTATCTTAGCTGTTTTTAATGAAGTAGATCATATCTCTGCAGGGAAGTAATCAGCTGTTAGCATGAAAAGGTTTGTGTGACTGGTCTGAAAGTGACCTAATTGCACCTAGTACTGCTTTGTAGGGCAATTTATGTTGTTGGATCAAAAAAACTCTCGAGAGAGTTCTAGGGAAGAAGGAGTTAAAAATGAACAGCTCTCTGAAGCCTATAGACCATGTGTCAAATGTACCAGACTGCTGCTTGAGTGGGATTTTTCCAAGACTCTTGAGAGGTGGAGTGTTACTTAAGTATTTGTTTAGAAGAATGTGTAGTCTACTCATGCTGGAGAAATAGCCATGCCCTTTTACAGTGGTGCTATCAGTCCTGTTTACTTTAGTTAAGCTCATAAAATGACAGTTAAAGTCTACAGAGAAATTAATAGTTGAGGAGAGAATTAGAAACCAAAGCTCAGCATGATCCTGCAATTTTATATACTTAAAGTATTTTGTAGCATCTTATGATCAGACAGGCTTCAATGGGAATAGCTTGTTCTCCTGTTGGTATATATCATCCATTGAAGTATGGATGGGTAAGGATGCATGCAAACATGAGCAAAACTGGCATAAAACATACTCCTTTAACTGTGTTCCAGTACTTTCCCATGGTGCATGTTGTGGTTAACATTTGCTTAATTATTTTGCTTTTGCAAAAGCCTTTCGGGAAGAGGACTGGAAATACAATTATAAGCAAGAACATGATTTTTTAGAATCCAAGCCTTTTTGTCATTTAGTCATTCTCCAGTGTGACCAATCCGTTTTGAAATCACCATCTTGCCATGTGCATTATATGCCTGTCAAGTGGAGCTGGCCATTTCTTGGTAACTTGTGAAATGCCTGGGAGTTATCTGAGCCTAGGTGGACTCTGTGAATGAGGAGATATCTTGACTGTTGCAGCTTAGGGATACTGACAGATGCCAACCAAAGCAGCAACATATGTGGGGACAAAATTTCACTCCTAACTTAAAATTTTATGTTCTTGGGTTAGTGTTAAGGCAGTTGGAGTAATTCAGCAAAGCTCAAGTTGAACTTGGTCTGGACACAGTGACTATAACTCCCTTTGTAAAGCTCAAACTCCCTTTAAATCCTCATCAGAGACAAGGGCTTGGGAGTCTCAGTCTAGACGTCCATGCCACATCAGCATTAGAGTTGTTTTGGTGCCTGAGAGACAGGGATACTTGCAAGGGTTAACTCAAGTTCTAAAGCACTGCCTAATTTTTACAGATGGTGTGAGTGCAAGAGTGAACCTCAGACTGGCTTGGCAGTGCATAGAGATAACTTTACATAATTCCCTGCAGATGTTGCTGCAGAATGGTTTTAATAATGAATTGTGAAGTCAAACTAAACTCCAGCATAGAGGGAGAACTCAAAATAAATGCAATGTTTTGTTCTGTGTTTCAAAAGCAAGTTTTCTATGATGCTCTGGGTTGGGAAAGATGGCAGGGAACAGGACAAGGGATGGTTTACAGAAAGCCACGGCTGTAATGGTGCAAAATAAGACCAATCTGTCTAATTTGTCTGCAAACCATGACTACCCATGAACCCGAGGGTGAGAGGGGGAAGGGATGGGTGGTACCAAACAGCAGCTGCCCTAATGCTTCTAATGAGAGGGTGGTACAGAGCAAGTACTTCATGATCAGCAGTTCTGCAGTTTGTGGCTGTCATGCACGGGCTGCATTGGCACTGCAGCCATTTTCTGCTAGGAGTCAATTCTGATACTGTGCTATAATTTCCTTTCTCTAGGGTTATGGCTTGGATGTGCCATTATAATTTAGGTTTAGGTCTCATAAGGTATATGCTGCCTCAACAGTGGCTGCTTAGCCACTCTGAGACTTTGCACATCTGCTTGTGAGCACCCATTTGTGACTTCTGTGCTGCCAGGGGGTGTTTCTCAGTCTTCTCAGTTGCTGAGTCTGTTTAAGCAAAACACACATTTTTCTGTTGACATGCTATTTCAAGGGGCTATATTAAAGCTTTTCTTCTGTTTTTCTGAGATGCAAGCTTGAAATGGGGGAAGAGAATTTCAGAGTGAGAGGCTAGTTTTCCGTGATCTTGGACAAATGCTGTGATTTCTTAGTAGCTGCAGAGGTTTCTCATTTACATTTTACCCTTGTGCAGAGTTCATAAAGGAAATCTTTAGAAAGAAATTAGGGCTTTCATGAGTTCTGGGGCGATTAGGAGCTTTAGACTGAGTCATGTTTAGATGGATGGAGGCTCAGCTACCCTATGGCCCCAAGCAAAAGATCTAAACTTGGCTCTGAGGCTGGTGAGCCAAACCAGAGGAGCTGTATTGTGAAATGGACTAGCACGGGGTTGGTGTCAAGGAAGTGTGATCCAGCCCTCCAAAGATGGTTTTACCATGGTTTGAGTTTGGCCCAAAAGTGCGTTTTTCAGTGTAGGCAAGTCCTTCTTGCACTTGTGTTTAATTTCTTTCTGAGGAAGAGTTTACGTAAACTATTCCAGTCTAATTAATATCAGCTGGAAGCCAGCTTCTCGTATTTTGTGCCTAATTATAAGTGTATGTTAAAGTGTGTTTGCTACCCATGTCGATATGTTACTGGTGAAATAAGGAACAACCATGAAGACGTGTTTCTGAAACGGTCTGGCAGACCCTGGTGTTCACTGCTGTGGGCTTCGTGGCAGGAGAACCCACCTCCTGTGGAGGGAGAATAACTAAATTTAAACTTTCCAACCATGAGCCTCGTGAACTAAAGTTTCCAAACCTCTGCTGGGCCAGAAGATGGAAATCTGTGTCTGAATTTGGAGAGTAAATAAATAGAGCTGCCCAGGGCCATGTAAGGGGTTGTTGCTTGGGGTACATTGTCTCCCAGCCACATGCCCCAGGGAGGAAAGCAAGGGTTTGTAGCTACTGTTCTCTGGTAAAATCTTCCGTGCCAGGATTTGGAATGAACTTGGGTGACTTTAGCACGAACACTTGAACATTGTTCCAGCAGAGTGGCTTTTCTCTTACAGACAGTTGCATGTGGCATGGCAGCAGGGCCAGCAGACCTTCCTTCCCCCTCGCTGGGCTGGGCTGTGGCATCCCAGCTGTGGGAGGGATGTGTGGCCACCTCACAGCTCACTAGTGTTGGTGCCCATCTCTTTACAGCCCAGGCTGGCACCTTTGCTCATCACAAGCAGGCTTCTGTGAAATCTGCTGTGTTTATAACAGCCATCAAAGTCTGTAAACTGTTCTGAGGTCCATGTATAGAAATAGGTGTTTTCCCAACTCCCTTTGAGGAAGCTGGAAGGATGATAATGGATAACAGTTTGCATGATCCTGACAAAGCAGCTTATGTTTTCTGGAGAAACTAGGGTATCACAGAAAACAACAGAAGTGGTTTACTTACCTGTTAGACTTTTTATTTTCCTATTGTCTTAACCCAGACCTTATCTGAATGGAGGAGAATCTAGCTCTGCTCATATCTGAGAGCAGCAAGTTCTTGGGTGAGTGAGTCTGTCAAAACCATTGGAGGATTCAATAAATCAGTGTAACCAAGCAAGAAAAGAGGCAAGGATAGTTATAGTTGAAATGCATTTAATCTGAAACTGGCATGCATGTAATTTTATTTATCCATCCACAGATACGACCTAAAGGTTATATCTACATATATTGCTGAATACTTAACATTTTTGTAGATACTGGTTGAAATTTGGATGTTCAGGTGGGAAGACAAGTAACCAGTGCTTATGGCCTGAAGTCAGATTTCAGTTGGCTTTTCTCTCTTTATTTCTGTTCTGTGCAGTACTTTCCAGCTTCCCAGGGTATTGAATTCAGGTCATGTTTGTTAAACACCAGCTGTGGTTACAAGTGCTCTAGAAGCACTTTTATATCCTGTTCTGAAATCTATGCACTTCTATGAATGTCTTTGCTGTTTCCTTCATTTGCCTTTTGTAATACTTCATATTAGGATTTGGGCAGTGTTTGTGCTGTTTCACATATGTGCACATGTGCATATTTGCAAAGTGTTTTGATACTGTAGCTGTACATGTAGCAAGACCAGCTTGGAGAAACTGAATTAGAGAACTTGAGTCACAGTTGTCATGGATGGACTTTGAATTTCCTAAAATAAATTGATATTTGCTTCACTGCACCCTTTTTCTAGCAAGCCTGCACACTACCACTGGGAGAGGATCTGATAGAAATTGTGTAATAGCACTAAACCCTTTCTTGTTCTAGGAAGCTGCAGAATACCTCAAACCTGCACCAGGGCTGCTGACTCTGCCATCTTCTCTGTAGCATTTTACTATTCTTGTTCTTCTAAATATTGACTGAGAAACTTCTTTTGCTTCTTTTTGTAGGTTGGTGGTTTGTGAGCACAGCAGAGGAGCAGGGATGGGTCCCTGCTACATACCTGGAATCCCAAAATGGAACCAGAGATGACTCTGACATCAACACATCTAAATTTGGGGAAGGTATGGAAATCCTTTTCTTACCAAGAGAAAACTGATATTCACCTGCTTTATGCTTTTTTTCCCCCAAGTGAGAGCTTCTAATTGGAAGAAGATGCATGATAGAGCCAAAGGCCATTGAAAGGAGTGAGATTTAACTTTAATGGTTGCTTCTCATTAATTTCCTTTAAATTAATCTTTGAAACTAGTTTCACTGATGTTTGCTATGATCTGTGATTGTGTGGAAAGGTAATTTTATTTGGTATGGTCTCATTCCTCATTCTTTTAGAAGTGAGATAGCATTTGTCATGTATATGTATTTAGCTGCACTGCTTTTTTGCCTTTTTTTTTTTTTTTTTTAACTAAAGATACTTAATTCAGGTTCCAGAAATGGAATAGTTCAGCATTGCATGTTTCTCGGTTCCATTATGAAAGACTAACCACATCTTAATGGGCTTCTCATGTAACAACTGTGTACAAAGGACACTTTCATTATGATTTGCTCCATTCTAGTGAATCTGTTGCTAAATCTAGATGTTCTTGACGTGCCATTTATATAAAATGTATGTGGAAACTCAGCTGACCTTTCCTTAGCACAGGCAGGAGGCTTAGAGATGTGTTGGGGTGACCATCTGCCCATTAAAATAGTACACAGGCAAAACAGGACTTCGTGCTGGGCTCCAAGGGTGACATCTGCAGCTTGTTGAAATCTTTGTAACTCATTTTTCCATGCTCAAGTCTACCCATATCCTGGTTTAGAGACAGACTGGCTGTGGACTGGTAGGCCAGGAACCAGTCTGGTATGATGCAACATCTTAATGGATGAAAATGCAGTGAGTAACGTTTCCCTGTTATTAAAGAACAAAACTTGACTGCTCTGGTCTGCAAGCACTGAAGAATGCCTTGTCTGTTGATCTGTAGCTTCCTCCTTTTTCCTGACTCTTAAATACAGTGCATGCTTGACAGCCTTATTGCTTAAACTGCTTTCATTTCAAGCTCTCCTCCTCCTTTCCTGTTGCCCTCTGGAGTGTACTCTGCACAGAGATGCTGCCACACAGCAATCTGTCCTGGGCAATGGAAAATCCATCAAATATTCCTTATCTCCTTCCTCTCAGTCCCTTTTACTCCATTGCACTGGTCTCTTCACCTCTGCTTAGCAGTCCTGCTCTCTGCCTTACTCCAAATCCAGATATGCTGAAACCTGAGACTGCCCTTCCCTTTCTGCTCAGTTCCATGACAGATCTAATTGACAGATCTAATTGCATAACCTCTGCAGATGCTCTGATGTGCCCCAGATTTTGCTTGCTTGCTTTTTAGTAACTTTGGTTTCTGTTATTAACCATCTAAGCTGAGACTTCCTACTTTCTTTGTTTCTTCCCCTCCAGTTCTTCTTTACTTGGGCTATTCTTCTCCATATAATTATTTCATAGGAGAGGAAAGAATTACTTGGATTCACTGTCTTAAAAAAGGTGTATCAAAGTGACTGTACTTAGGAAACTTGCTAGCTCTCTCCAAGTAGGCAGGAGAAAGGGGCTCTGATGTAACTGAGGAAGGCACTTTGAGTGGATAAAGTGCCTTAGCCCCAGAATTTAAAGCTTAGACAAGTTTGAGTGACTCCAACAGACACTGACTTCCTGCAACTGTGCAGTCTCTGCTCCCCCAGCTCTGAAAGAGCAGAAACACTCATGTAGGGAGCTTTGTGTATGAGCCCCTTGTCCCTCCCCATTTAAACAGGCCTGGAACAACTGCACAAGCCAGGCAAACCTAGAAGTCTGTTGTGGCAGGCCTAGTAAAGATAAGGGGGTCTGAATACATCTTGCTAACAATTCTGCCTCTACATAGCAGTAATATTTCCATGTGTCTCTGTTTAAATAGTCTGTTCCTTGAGAAACACAAAAGTGTTTCCTCCCTGCACCTGAGCTTGCATAACTTTTTTGTCTGGATGTAGGCTGACAGCTGATGTGTTACCTGGGCCTATGTTTAAACCTACACCATCTTGCAAGGCTTGGAAAACAATCAGAAAGCAATCTAGAAAAACATTTAACAGCTACAGGAGCTGGTAAAGTAAACATGTTAAAATAATCTCTGAAAAGGTGTAGGCACTTGTTAATAAGCAACCTTTCTGGTGACTGTGGCATGACCAACTAAGTCCAAGTGTGGGATCAAATGTCAAAATTCAGTATTTTTAAGGAGGAAAAAACCCTGGCTCATACAAAAGCATCATTGTGGTATAAAAGGGCTGTCACTGAGGATGGCCATACATTGTGAGGACACAGTGTGGTGGATCTGTGTGACCCAGCTTTCAAGGGATGTTCCTGGATGGCTAAATCCTCCAAACTCCCAGTGTGAGAAGGAGCAAGCTGACTGCTCTGTATTGACACCTTAAGCCAGTTTCTACTCCTTCTGCACCCCTCCATCCTACAAGTCTTTACATTCAGCATTTCATTTCCTCCTTTCTTGTACAGAAAACTCCTAACATGCACAGCCTTATTGCAACTTAACTTCTCTCTCTGCTATAATCCGTGTGTCTAGAGGGGTGTCCTGTGTTGTCTTTTGTGTAGCATGTGTGTAACTGGCAGTCTAATGTCCTGTTGATTTGAGGAAAGTCACCAGGTTAATTCTGCTCATCCTTTATCCCTCCATGGGCTTCCAAGAGGATCACTGATTTCCGTGAGCCAAAATCACAGCAATCTACAATCTTGAGGTTCAGCTCATCTGAAAATTTGTGGTTGGTTTTTGACCAACATGGGATCAAAGGGGAAGTACAGAGTACCACAGTCTAGATAATGTACTTGTTCAACACCATTCACCACACCTCCACTTAGGGTGGCATGGAAAGATTTGGGCCTTACAGCAAAGGAGAAATTGAGGAGAGTGAACTGGGTGTAAAAGTCTGGTGTACATCCCTGACAGATAAAAAGGACAAAAAGTCAAAAGCCACTCTTTGGTGAAGTTATTTTTTTTCTTGTCCAGCTAATGATTTCCCAATCAAATAATTTTGCTGTGCCTGATTGTCTACAGAACACAGTTCTAGAAAACAATGATGTCTACTCCATTAGAAGGATATAATCCCTAAATAAGTGCACATATGCAGAATTGAATTATTATTAATTATGTGATGCCAAATTTTATGAACAGCTTCCCAGCACCACTGGGAAAATGATTGTGTTTGCACTTCAGCTGTCACTACCTTGCAATATGTTGCATTGCTTTGAAGCAGCACCAAGCACCCATGCAGTAGTTGCCAAATTGAGATGGAAGCCCTTGAAGGGAAAAAATGGAAGTGTTTGGCTGTGTTTCTGTGCCAGTGTAATGGTTCCAGCGTCTTTCACACCTGTACAGACAGAAGAAGAAACTGAATACAAATCTAAGTATGTGGTCCAGAAAACAAGTGGTGTCCTCTGTGCACAGCTGCTCTCACAGTGCCATTTCCATAAGTGTCTTGTCTTTGTTTATACTTTAAGGATAAGTTATTGTTTGAATATGTAACTAACACTTAGTCCTGGCTTGTTAGCTTCTTGAGCCTGCTCAGTAATTGAAAGTTTAGGTTTTTTTCCTTATATCATAATCTGTGTATTAGAAGTTTTGATCATGAGAACCATCTGTTGCAATGAATGCAAGTCATGACTTGCAAGCACATCAGACACTTTTCACTTGAGTTCAGTTCCTGAGTGCTGCTGTTACAAGGGAACTTAAGTAAGAGTTTGTGGGTTTATATTGTGATAATTTTTCTTAGAGAGGTTTAGAGCCCTGTTTGGTTTGATGTCATATGCAATAGGCTGAGTTCCCCAAAGATCATGCAGCTGCATTAGGAGATGAAACAGCAATGATGATGTGTCCTGCCACTGCACTCTTCTTGGACAAGTTATCTTTAGTTGTGCAGCTTGTTTTGAAGTGTGTATATTATAATTTTATTTTTTATTATAATTAGTAGTTTCTAAGAAAAGCTAATAGCAAGAGTGGCAATTTGTGACAGTTCTGGATGGCTGACATTGCTCAAGCTCAAGAAGCTAACTTGTTCCACTGTACTATATAAACTAAAACAAAACATCTACATCCCACCTAACCATTCCCACTAACAAGACCAGTGCTTGTAAATACCATGTTTTGTTTTTATTCCTCACCCTCCCATCATTTTTTTTCTCCTTTTTTTTTCCCCCTTTGTTTTGTTTCCATCCATGTTCCAAACTAGTTTCTAAGCGACGCAAGGCTCACCTGAGGCGCCTGGACCGGCGATGGACGCTGGGCGGGATAGTCAACAGGCAGCAGAGTCGAGGTGAATTCACAGCTTCCTCTGGCACCAGCCACTCAGGGGGCACCAAAAGCCACACTGCAGCTTCAGCTCTTGTGTTTTGGGACCCACATCTTTGGCACTTTGCTAGTGAGGGGTCAAAGCTCCAGAGTTCAGATGTGAATTTTGTACACGACAGCTTGAGGGTGTCTTGGAGCCGGGATTAGGCAGCCCAGCAGCTGGAGGCTGGTAACCAAGGGTAGCTCTGCAGTCTGACTCTTTGTGCTGTTGGGGAAGCTCACATCTGTTGTGTTTTAACTTGGGCATATTTGTGCTCAGTCTTTCCTGCCTCAGTAAGGACAAATGATACTTTCAGGGCTATTAAAATGAGTTGAATGCCAAAAAGCCACGGTCAGAGATGTATGCACTGGAAAAGTATGTGGTGTGGAAAGATGAAAATCATTCCAGTTGCAGTCCCTTCTCTTCCTTGCAAGCAGTGCTTGGTACTAAAGAGAGACTTGAGAACTTTTGGGAGTTTTTGACATCATTCCCAGGTGTTTAAAATGCCACCAGTAGCAGCATTTTAGTTGGTTTGGTTTGTCCTATGTTCTTTTAGCTCTTGCTGGTCTAACAGTGAATATGGCAGGGTAGGGGGGAACACCTTGTGTTTGGGTGAAGCTGTGTTTGGGTAAAGTTCGAGGAGCCCTCTAAACAAAGTATTTCTTAAGAGCAGGTGAATCATCTTTCCCAGAGCAAAGGTATCCTTGTCTATCTCCTGCTCCACTTGGAAAAT